AGCCACCTTCTTCTGACTTAAGAGTGATTGCTATCTCACCGTGTACTCACAGGGCTTCCTTGTGGAGGAGAGAGGGACAACACATGCTTTCTGATGTGTCTTCTTACAAGGGCACACATCACATTGGACAAAGGTCTCATAATTACGACCTCATTTAACCTTAATTATTGCCTTAGATGCCCAGTCCCCAGATATAACCTCACTGGGGATTAGGGCTTCAACAATGTAATTTTGGGATCACACAAAAAATTAATAAACAGCTGTATTTTTGCTTTAAGGTAGAATATCAAACATACCTATTATAATCTCCTGGTAGTTCAGTTAGTGTTTTGGGAATTGTCCTAGTCATTTCCTCTCTGTTCTTGATAAGAGAATTATGCTCTTTTATTTAGACCTGTCTGTGGGTCTTTGTCAAGCCCAAAGGAGAACTTTCATCGTATTTGGATATTGCCATTTTATTGACCATTTTTACTTTAATGCAGCTTTTCATGTACTGTTTTGTCATGTTATGATGTTCACATGGTAGACAGTTTTATGCCTATATAAACATGTTTGTGTTACCAAGAGCCCACTTTTTGAGGGTCACTGGGCCGTTTGTTGGACCACAACCACGCCTAAGAACAGGTGGTACTGTGTCTAGCAGAACTGCAGGTGCAAAAGGTGATCAATGACAAGCAGATTTGGGAACGGGGAAGGCCAGTCCATCCCTGATAAAAGCTGATGCAGCAAGGAAGGCTGTTATGTTGTGACTTAAAAACAATTATGGACATTGCTGAATAGTTTGGAGGTGGAATATACTTTCTAGCTTCAGAGTCTCCATTAGTAATCTTTGCTGGAGGAGAGCACTTTGGGAAATATTTGTGTACTAAGGACTGTCAGGTGTTCAAGCAAAGTGCCAGCATTTCCCTGGGGTATGGAGCATTTTAAAGCTTTATATGGTCTCTGTAGTTACTTTCTAGATGTACATTTCTATCAGATTACCAGCAGAAATTATTTCAGAACTCTGATCAGAGTATATGAGGTATACCTTGTAAGGAGCCAGGGGTCCTAGATTTAAAAGTAATGGAAAGAGGTAGAGGCAAGGGGTAGAACTAGTGGGGAGGGGAAGAGAGGGATGAGCAGGCACAGTGAGACTATGTTGCCTTACCCTCAGACCTCTGCCAGCTGACAACCAGATTGCTAATTAATTGACATAATTTGATCAGGGGAGTAGAGGCTGTCACTCGGTCTGAAATAAGAGAACTAAGCAGGACAGAGGAGCATGGGCTTGTCGGTCCTAGGTTTGAATCCTACTTCTACCACTTAAAGCTGGCATGACTACAGCAAGTTACTGAGCCTCAGTTTTCTTTTTTCTTTTCAGTCATTTTTTTAATTTACTTCCAGTTCTGTGGCTCTCACACATACTAGGCAAATGTTTTATCACTGGGCTCCCCCCGGCCCCTGAGCCTCAGTTTTCTTATCTGGGAAATGGAAATAATAATTGGTTACCACAGATAAACCACCTACTTCATGTGGTTGTTGGGAATCCACAGGGAACCTTTGGCTTATGCCGGAATCCCTTTATAGCATGTAGAGCACAACCACATGGCCCAGAGAGGCCTGCTGTTCTACAAAATTAAGCAAAGTAAATTAGTAACTGAGGATTTACTTAGCTAGTGATTAAACAACAGTTTAGTTAATAGGCTATTAATGGTCCCCAGGTGTTGGTAATTCTGAGTATTTGCTTTTGAGAGCAGTTGTGTAATTCCTGCTGGTACTTAATTTTTTTAAACAAAATATTGAGGTGTAACGTGATGCTTTCGGGGTGTTTTTGAGAGGATTAAGTGATACTGTGCATATAAAGCATTTAGAATAGTGTCTAACCCACAACAAGAGCCCTGTAGAAGTTATCGGCTAATATGCTCAACTGGCCACATTAGGGCCAAAGCCTTTGTGAAATTTAGACCTCAGTGGCTGCTAATGGAACCGTGTAAATTACAAGGAAGAATTATGAAATTGCTTGTCCTTAATTCCTTATATTTACAGTTCCGAATATCACAGGGACATGGTTCAGAGTTTAGCTTATTTGCATGAAAGATGGAATCTGTATATCACTAAACAACGAAGTGACATTTTTTTCACCTCCACAGTTGCCATAGAACAAAAAAGGTAAATGAAGCAGGGAAACAGAAATGCTTATGTGCTGTTAGTAGCACTGTAAGTCAATGCAACATTTGTACAAGAACAAGTTGATGTCACAAAAGTCTTAGATGTTTTCATCTTTTGTGGCAGCCATTCTTTTTATAGAAATTCCTCTTGAAGAAATAACCAGAATAGGAAAAGAGGTTTATTTAGAAAGCGTGGATATACAAACACACATATGTAAGGTATACATAAATAGCATTACATACAACAGAATAAAATAGGCAGTAATCCCGTTTTTATCTGTGGGTCAGAGTTCTTAATGCTTGGAACAGTGGCTCTTAAAAGGAGTGGGGGCAGGAGGAAAGCAGACATATTGGCATGTCCTGGGTAGGAGGAGTTGGGGCAGGGGAATCAGCACAGAATCTGCTCTGGGAGCTGTGTGGTTTAGTGTACCCGCTGATTATTAAAAACTATAGGAAGTAAGATGGACATGGACAGATTGGCAGACAGAGATATATAGAAGAGCCAGAGTGTGCAGAGCATGTGTTAGTAAATTTCAGTTTGGGAATCAAGGGCTTTTGGGGAATAGAAGTATTGATAAAGGCAAAAAATAATTTTGGACCTTGAGGAAGAAGAGGCTCTGCTTGGGTATCATTGTAGGGATATTAGAGTAACATGCTCAAAGCAAGCCTTGGAAATTTAGGGGTTCCTGGACATAGCCCAAAGATAAGTGTCCCTTCATTTAGCTTTGCTTAGAATCTGAGGCCAAACTGCCTTTGACATGTGTTTGAATCTCTTGATCTTAATTCCTTTAATGCCCAGTATGAGTATGGTGAGGGATACCCAGTAGGTGGGTTGTCTGCTCACAATAGTATTTCATCCTAACCTTAACTTTTAGTATGATGTGGTATATCATGGGATACCCTGATCAGATTCTGTCACTGTTATATAAAGCCTGTACCTCTTCTCTCCCCTCCCTTCCCTTCTCTTTCCTTCCTTTCTTTTTTGTACTAGAGTTTGAACCTAGGACCTTCACACTTAGCTACATCCCCATCCCTTTTTATTTTGAGACAGGTTCTCACTAACTCACTAAATTGCCAAGTCTGAGCTCAAACTTGTGATCCTCCTGGCTCAGCCTCCCCATGTGAAGGTTCTCTGATCTGGCCTGGTCCCTTTCAGCCTGTTCTAATACAACTATAGTAACCTCTATCCAGGCATTGTGTGAGAATAGATGACTTGAAACAGTGTGATTTTAAGTCAATGTAGCGATATATTTAAAAGCCACAGGCTTTTCCCCCCTCTAACTCTTTATTATAGAAAATGTCAAACATACACAAAGATTAAGAAAATAACTGAAGGAAATTTCATGTACCTATCACCCTTGACAATCAGTTGTCACACTTTTGACTAGCAGGACTCCTTTCAAGTTGGTGCCTTATTCTTTTGATATGGATTGGCCAATTTTAAATGGACTACATCATCACCATCTTGATGTTTCCCTCTTACTCTGAAAAACCAGGCTTGGAGAAGAAAAGACAGTCTGTGAATATGTTGGCCCTTCCCAGCAAGGGAAGGAACATACATTGGTCACTTTATTGCTGTAATTATTGTTGCTTAGCTACATGTTTGCCTTCACTTTTGAGAGATTAATCTTATAGGAAGCTTCTTGTAATTAGAACATGTGGGAAACATAAATAGATTTCATATACTTTAGCAGAATAAGTCTTACTAAGCACCTGGTATGAGAGAGATGCTAATTCCCCATTAAAGAGGATGCCAAAATGACTTAAGGAAGTCATTGATGAATAATTTGTCCCCACCCAAGGGGAGAACCCTGTAGTTGCTAAGGACACCATATTACTGAGACGAAAAGAAAAACAGTTCTGGACTTTCCAAGTCACCATCTTTATGATCTTGGACAACTTATTTCACCTTTCTGACCCTTAGTTTCATCAGTCTTTTTTTTTGGCTTTTTGAGACAGGGTCTCACTATGTAGTTGAGACTCCTCGGACTCTTTTCTGACCCTTAGTTTCATCAGTCTTTTTTTTTGGCTTTTTGAGACAGGGTCTCACTATGTAGTTGAGACTGCCCTGGAACTCACTATGTAGCCCAGGCTGGTCTTGAACTCGCAGCAATCCTCCTGCCTCAGCCTCCCGAGTGCTGGGATTGCAGGCGTGCGTCACCATGCCCAACTTATCAGTCTTGAAGAAGGGATGTGGACTCATTCTCTAAGTGTGCAGGCCTTTCACTTCAGAAATTAAAAGAAGTTGTTTATACAGGATTATATGCTTTTAAAAGTATATAATCAGACATGACTCCACTCCTGATTTTAAAATGAATCTGTGGTTGCTCCAGGGCATGACCTGTCTAGGACCACAGATACAGTGATGGCAGTAACAGATCTTGTGGAGAATTTCTTATGATTCTGGAATCTTGGTAGTGTTTATATCACCCATTCTATTTCATTACACAATGACTTCTCATTCTTCATCTGTGACAAAAACTTAAGAAAGCTACTTATTTCCAAAGCTGCCGGGCATTATGATTTGGAGGAATAATCAGTTCTGTAACATTAAACAGAAATAAATTAAGAAATCAGAGTATCACATAGATGTTCAACTTTTCTATTTTTGCTGTTGTATACTGGATATTTACAGTATAACAAATGAAAGGAAAAGTCATTGGAAAACCTAAAACTGCATTCCTAGTAAATTTCTGAATATTTTCAAGTGAATATTATAATACAACATTAATGGAAAAGAAAGTACTGATCCTCTTTCAAACAAGGGAATCGTATCAGGGATTAAGCTTAAGTGACTTGCTGACATTTTTCTTGCTGGAGTTGGTAATTCTTTCTTCAAACTTCATTTTATAGGCTAGCTAATCGCCTGAAGAAACGTAGTGGAAAATGCAAAACAACGAAATTATAAAACCTGCCAAATACTTCTCAGAATTAGAAAAGAGCATCTTGCTTGCTTTAGTAGAAAAGTATAAATATGTGCTGGAATGTAAGAAAAGTGATGCACGAACTATTGCCCTCAAGCAACGTACCTGGCAGGCACTTGCCCACGAGTACAACTCTCAGCCGAGTGTATCGCTGCGGGACTTCAAGCAGCTGAAGAAGTGCTGGGAGAACATCAAGGCTCGGACCAAAAAAATTATGGCCCATGAAAGGAGAGAGAAAGTGAAGCGGAGCGTCAGCCCCCTGCTGAGCACCCATGTCCTGGGGAAGGAGAAGATCGCAGGCATGCTGCCCGAGCAGCTCTACTTCCTGCAGAGCCCGCCCGAGGAAGAGCCCGAGTACCACCCTGATGCTGCTGCCCAAGGTACCACTCCTTGTGCCACTTTGCGTGTGCTGTTTGGGGACCTGTTTGACATTTTAATTTTAGAATCTTTCCTTTTGAGGGAATTCATAAAAAGGAAACTTTCACATCAAACATGACTTTCCGAACAAAATCTCAGGATTAAATAGGGCATTGAAGTCATATAGTACACAGAAGTACTTGTGTAGGTCCTCGAGCTACCTCTCTCAGAGACCTTATTGTTACTTAAACATAAGGTAAGAGAAGGAATCACACAGCAGTTATTAATGAGGTACTTCAGTTGCTTGTCTTAACCTATCTCTGAATAGAAAATTTGATGGGGATTTATATGCATTCACTCAATTTTTTGAGAACACATGTGCAAAGCCCTACAATCACTCAAAAGGCCATTTAAAAGAATAAACTATTTCAGACTTGAAAACAAAAACCACAGAGATTAATACAGGAAACACCCACTTAGCATTTACCCAGGTTAAAACCAATATTTTGACCTCTTATAATATTTGTGATTTGAAGTTTTGGTTTGTGGCACTCCAGGGACTTTGAGAAATTCTAGGAAAGAATTTAATTTTAATATACTTTAAAAAGAGCAAAATGTGTCAGCCATAATTCATAGGGAATGAAAAGACTGTCATAATCAAAGATGTGATAGTTCATCATAGCTTTAAAAGGTTGGTATTGGAGTTGAGATTCAGCTCTGATTCCAGCATGTGCCTTGAAAACGCAAGGACTGAGTTTGATCCCTCGTACCAAAAAAAAAGGTTAGTATTCAAGGGCCACAGAAATATCTCCAGACAAGGGGAGGGTGAAGTGGCATATAGTTAAATTTTCAATAATGCCTGCCTCTTTTAAGACAGGAAATGCCTAGTTTGTATAACAGTTCATTGCAGTTTGCAGAAGGTACATCTGGAAACAGGAAGGTTCCTAGGGAGACTAGAGGATTGGTGCTCCAAGGACCCAGCAAGCATTTATTGGTTTGTAGGATGGGAAATTCACTTGTTAGTGTCCCCAGAGTAGATTAAGCTCTGAGGGAATGGATCCCATTAATCAAAAGTCACAAGAAACTGTCTTAAACCAAGAATGTTACCTGTGAAAAAGATAATTAGCAAGTGAACCAAATACATGTTTTTGGTGATTAGTGCCTTTTTTTTTCTCCTGTAGGTAAATCATCCTGGGAAGCTAATTTATGATCAAAACTTTGCATGGTGATCATTTGACCAAAGTTAAATCCAAGAATCCAGTTGGGTAACCATAGTGGTTAATGTCATAAACATTTGTCAACATTTTCATACCTGGTTTCCAATTTTTTGTTTTTTAATTAGCTAGGACTGACCCCTAGCAGACAGTGTTTATGTGGGCACTGCCTATTATTTCTCCTCGCTGCTTCTGTGGGCCATAGGACCCGCTGCTAAATGACAGTGTCCTTACTTTGGAGAGTTTATAGTTGCAGGCAGTTATTGGCCATCTTGCTGGTCTCAGAACAATTTGGTCTTTGTGAGGTAGTGTAGAGAATGGTGCTGGGAGAGGGAGAGGTGAATTATTAAGGCTGCTTTTCACATACGTATGTCCCATGCTGCTGAAGAAGATGCTGAGTGGGAGCTGCCACTTCATCTTGTAGACTTGTATTCTGGATTATTGTGTTTTTGTTTCTTAGGGTCTTCTTAGGGGCATGTTTCTACATTTTCAAAATCTTGGGTAGAATCTAAAAAGTTTATCCCACAATTTTCTTCTTTTTGGAAGAAATTATGTAATTCATTTACACATAAACACAATTTATAAATTTTGAGCAAGAAAGGAATACATTTGGTTTTTCAGCGCCTTTATTGTAGCAACATTTGCTAGAGATTTCCTTGTGAAAGAGATTAATTTAAATTGGATGTTTATACATTTATAACCTCGGAGACATCCTTTTTACTGATTTTTTCTGAAGGACAGCCTACTGTTGCCTGCTCCTGTCACAATGGAAGAGCAGTGGAGCTCAGTCAGTTGGGAAGTGCACCCAGGCTATCTGTTAGTACTAGTAGGAAGGGTGTTGGAACTCTTTCTACCATTTAAAATAGTGTTGAGGTTACATATTGCACTTAGTTTGTATTTCAGTTTACTTTCAAGAAGGAAAAAACTAGAATTGCCAGTCATCTCTTCTGGGAGTTGGTAGGGAACTGATTGTAAAAGCTACTATTGGGTTATGACCCTCATTACCTCGTGTGTTTTGACATGTGTACCTCTGTTTTACTTTTATATTTCTAACACTGCACTGTCCAGTGCAGTAGCCACAAGCCACATAAAGCTAATAAATGTGAAATGTGGGTAGACTAAGCTGAAATGTACTCTGTGCATGCCACGTTTTGAAGACTTGATAACACAAAAAGAATTAAAATATACCATTAGCAAATTTATACTGATTACATGTTTAAATGACAATATTTTAGATATATTGGCTTAAACATATATTGTGGAAATTAGTGTCACCTCTTTTTATTTTTTTAAATGTGACTATAAGAACATTTAAAATTATTTATGTAGTTTTTATTCTATTTGCATGGGACAGCGATGTTTTAATAACCTACTGGGTGCCTGTTAACCAGATTAGGTGTTCAGAGATTTGTTGGAATTTATTATACAAAGGTTAAAGGGGATGGAGCCTAGTAGTATTCCACTAGAGGCCTCCCTCCAACTGTGTTTGGTGTGAGTTGGTATGGCCTGTGTCATCTAGATCACCATCCCCTGGATATTACTGGCTTTGTCAGTGACTTTTTAAAAAGGCACATCTGTATTTGAATTCAGTAGTCTTAAAGCTTAATAAAAATACTTAGGAATGTATTTGCCAGAAACCCATAATATGTATACAGAGGATACCTGGCAGATTTTGTGATCTGGGATAATTTGGCTTTGACAGTTATCGTCTGTTATCTTGGGGAACAGGTGTGGAGAACAAACTAAGGGAGCCATCAGAATTTCCTAGGGATGGCAGGATGACAGGAAATTAAATACATTTAAGAAAACAAACCTTTTAAAGTAGTATTAAAATGTCACAGAATTTATATTTAATTTCACATACTGTTACTTCTCTGCTACAGAGTAATAATTGAATAATGTGAACATTTCTTAACAAATTCCATCATTATCAGTAATTAACCCAATCCCATTATTTTGGGGTGGAAACTTGGCACAGAGTTGTGTTGTAAGTCGTTGACACCTGTATGACTGCTCTGTGAAAACCCCCTTTGTAGTTACATGTTTATTCCCTTTTTTCCTTCATTTCCCACTTTCTTTCTCTTCTGCACTCAAATTAGCCTAGTATGCTTGAGTTTCTTCTCACATGTTTTGTGTGCATGCGTTTTTTATTTACATAGGTTAAAATTATGCTATAGATATCACTTCTTGTGCTTTTTTTCATTTAGAATAATGTTTTTAGGAATTATTATTGCTAGGCATGGTAGTGGCATAAGCCTATAATCCCAGAATTCTGGGAGGCTGAGGCAAAGGATTGCAAGTTCAAGCCCAGCCTGGGCACCTTAATGACTTAGCAAGACCCTGTCTCAAAATAAAAAATAAAAACAGGGCTGGAGATATAGCTCATTGCAAAGGCCCTGGATTCACACACACACACACACACACACACACATACACAACTTCTCATTGCAGTGTATAAATCTATAAATCTAATCTTTTTCTTTTAGTTAGTACAGTGGTTTTCTGTAGTATGCATCCACCAAATTCTGTTAATCCACTTCACAGTAGTCTGGTTTCCTTTATTCTATTGAGAAGGACTGGAAATTAGCCTGTACAGTTTTCTTCCTTTCCTTTTACTGCCATAGTAGGCTTTCCTTGCTGATACTAACTCCCCAGTGAGTGAACACCCCCATGGCTGTGTTCTGAGTCCCAGCAAAGCCTTCCTGTCTTTTTGCATAAAATTGAGTTGTTTTATACTTTGAGTGGCTTTGTTTTACCTGGGAGAGAAATTACATGGTGGGTGTTTGCAGCAGATTGCTACTCCCAGGCTAATCTTTTTCCAATTAAGGGACTATTCTTCCTGTCTGAACACTAGCTTCTATTCATTGAAACTAATATTTGCTTGGAAGTTAATTAACTGCTCTGTCATTCTTCCTAGTTTTAAGCTTTATCTTCTGCCTATTTTAAGAGGTCTGGCTATTTTTCTTTAAAATATGTATGTTAGTGCACATTTTAGAAAGAATAGTTTTAAAAGTCATTTCTTTGCTCTCAGACATGCTGATACTCTCTGAATGTTCACAAGTATAAAATTTGGAGAATGAAAATTAGAATATACACTGATATTCTTAGTAATAGATTATTTTGTAGTGGATACAACTTGGAAGCTGTATTTTATGCTGTGTAAGTGATCAGCTGAGCAAGTAGAGTAGTGGGAGGCTAAATTGAGGTGGTTAAGCTTAGATTTTTGAGTCATGTAGATCTGGATTAGAATCCTGGTCATTATCCAGATGTGGTGGTACATGGCTGTAATCCCAACACTCAGGAGGCTAGTAGCACAGGAGAGTCACAAGTATGAGCCTGGGCTACAAAGCAAGCTCAAGGCCAGCCTGGACTATAGAGTGAGATGCTGTCTTAAAAAAAAAAAAAGAAAAGAATCCTAGTTATTTCAAGTAGCCAAATGACCTTGGATATTGTATTTGGTTTTATATAATACTACCTTCCTCAAAGGGTTGTTATTAGGATTAGATATGGAAATGGTGTAAAGCTCTATCCTAGTCCCTGATTTTCAGCTCATAAAATGGTATCTGCTACCATTGTCATCATCACTATCATCATCATCATCATCATCATCATGCTTCTAAAGCCTTAGAATTGTTGAGATAAAAGTGAGCATTTAGAAATTGGGAGAGATAGTGGCCTTGTGAAGAGATGTACTTTAAAGACTCAGAGGAGTATCCAGAAATATCCCCTGGAATGAAATCAAAGAACAATGAGAGTAGAAGTATCAAAAAAATGTCAGTGCGTCCAGTCTTTAAAGAAAACATTTTCACATCTAAAACTAGAAAGGAAATGAGTGAGGTAATGCTCTTTGTGGCTGATGCTCACACATCTGAAGGCCCTGTCCTCTGTGTTAATACTTTCCCATCCCTCGGAACACTGTTCTTTCTCCATAACTGTGGCAAGTGGGCAGGAATGTTCCCCCTGCAGCCAGTGCACCCTACACACATTTCTTAAATGCCCAAAGCTGTACCAGGCTCTGTGCTGTTCTCTAAAAGAGGATAAGTAAGAGTCGGTCTCTGTCTTCAGAGGACTAAAAAACACGAAGGGCAGATAGTTAAGCCATTAGTTTTAACAAGTGCTCTATGAAAAGAGTGACAAACATAAATGCTCTGCTAGAGACACCCCCAGGAGACAGTAGGAATGTGAAGGAAAGGCACTGAATTAAGGCAAGAATTATTGGAATTAAGGAAGAGCCTAGGGAGACATTTTCATTATCTCTTGATAGCACAAAAGTAATTTTTTAAAAACCTTTTCATCTAAAAGTAAGATTTTTACCTTTTAAAAAATTTTAATTAGGAACTAGTTACGGTTGTTACCTTACCCCTTGGAGTGAAATAACCTAAACTGTAGTCATTTCCCTTTATTAACAGAGTATTACAAATTAGGTTCCCCCCAGTAGCCATTAACATTCCCAGCATCCTTTTTTCCAGAATAATGTGGTGGGCATAATAATGTAATCAACTCTGTTAATACATTGATAATACTCTTCTCTGAGAATATTTTCATTATTGGAAATGTAAAGCTTCTCAAGAAAGCCTTGGATTCACAGCTAGAAAACTCCATAGGTTACTGGAGTTAGTGGGTTTTCTCTTATTGACACTAATGTCACTACCTTATAAAAATACCAATGCAAACATTGTGCCTACTACATGTAGCATCCTTCTGTATTCATATGCTTATGTCCTTTTGTATTCGGAGGTTTTGCCAATAAGTACGACTAGGCATCCACCATACCAAGGAAAGTAATTAGTACCCAAAGATTAAAGAAATGAGTAAGGCCTAGTGCTAAAATAATACTAGAGGGTATTAAGTGCTATAACAGAGAAGAACAAACATATGAAGAAAGAGAGTTCTGAAGTTTCACAGAGCAATCCGCATTAGTCTTCTTGAACTTGTTTTGTTTTGTTTTGTTTTTGGTACCAGGAATCAAACTCAGGGCTTTGTGCTTGCTAGGCAAGCACTGCACCACTGAGCTCCATCGAGCCCAAGCAGCATTAATCTTTAATGAGTAAGAATTAGGGAGGGGAGGTTGGAAAAGGAAAACTGGAGTGAGGATGGGGGGCAAATGATGAACACAACTTTAAGCTGATGAAAGAGTGAGACAGAATTATGAACAGAAGTGCAACTTTTTAAAGAGTGTCAGGTTTTGGTAGGATTGAAAGGTGCACAGGATATTTTGAAGAGTAAAGCAAAAAAGATGAAAGAAGGTTGGAACCAGTTTATGAGGTTATTTAGGGTGGATGATGACCAGAGCTAGAGATCGACACATCAAGAATATGAAAAGGTAATGGGTGGAACAACAATCTTAATACTTCAAGACTTGAGAGGATAAATCAGAGAGGAAGGAGGCTATAGATACATGGGAGAGAGTGATGGGTTCTGAAGCTAACGGAGGAAAGAAATTTCAAGAAGGATTGTCAAGTTTCAGAGAGAGAGAGAGAGAGATTAAATAAAGGGGACATTGACAAGTGTCTTTGGGATCTGAATACTGGCCCTATGTAGCAGTGCTAATGGTACCAAGCCAGATGCAGGAAATCAAAGAGAGATGGGGTGTGAGGGAGCTCAACCAAGGAGTATAGGAGTGTAGACTCGTCTTTCAGTGTTTTATACTTACACTGGCTATGAGAGCTAACACTTGGGATGGGAACCTCCCATGGCTCTTGTGGAGGTTGAACAGAAGTGTTCCTAGCTGAATGAGAAACTGGCAAGGGTGGTAAGGCCGACAGAGAACTTTATCTGAAAACCCCCATGGTTAGCCCTGTACTGTGTGGTCTTACGTACATCAGATCAGAGTTCTGCACATTTTGGTTTAAAATCAATGTCACAAGTTCTGTTTCTGATAAGTACATTCTCTGAATACTGTTCCCATTGTTGGCAGTTTTAGAAATAACAGAACCCTTTGTCATTATTTCTTAAGGGAAAGTTGCTTTGGATTTATGGGTTTTTGTAAAAAGTTAGGTGCGGCCATAGTACCTGTAGACAAGAAGGCCAAAGAAGACACTGTTTTATTTTAGATCCATCCTATAATGAGAGACCCTGTCATTTGAAATAGGATTGACTTTTTTCTCTGCTTGTAAATCTTTGAACATGTTTTCTGCTACTGTTTTTCAGAATCATTTGCTGTTTCAAATAGAGAACTGTGCGATGATGAGAAAGAGTTCATACATTTTCCAGTGTGTGAGGGGACCTCTCAACCTGAACCCTCGTGTTCAGCTGTCAGAATAACAGCCAATAAAAACTACAGGAGCAAAACCTCTCAGGAAGGTGCTTTAAAAAAGATGCATGAGGAAGAACACCATCAACAAATGTCCATCTTACAACTGCAGCTGATACAAATGAATGAGGTGCATGTGGCCAAAATCCAGCAGATAGAGCGAGAGTGTGAGATGGCAGAGGAGGAACACAGGATAAAAATGGAAGTACTCAATAAAAAGAAGATGTATTGGGAAAGAAAACTACAAACTTTTACCAAGGAATGGCCTGTTTCCTCATTTAACCGGCCCTTTCCCAATTCACCCTAAGACCTTGGGGGTGTTTCCCATGTAATTAATCTCGTGTTGGCAAAGTCTGGAACATGAACTTGTGGTCAGTAACCTATAATGGAGCTACAACTAGGAAAAGTAGAGTGGTAGTAGTCACTTATTTAAGAATACATTCAGGTAAACAGCTGCACCCTATGTACCCCTTAAGTGGCAAAGAAGCTGTTATAGTTGTCTGAAATTATCATTATGAGTGCTATAATTCTGAATGTAATGTCTCAATTAGAATTCATATAAGAACCATGTGTGAGTGTGGTATTTTTTAAAAATCAAATGCAAGTGTGATTATAAAGAAGTATGGCTGATTTTTTTTTTCCTTAAGCAGAAAGCTGAACTTTGCTATTCAGTTGAATGTCCTGGCTGAAAGTGGTAGTCCTTCTCCAGAAGTGATCCCGTTGCTCAGAACTTGCTAGAGGTCTGTGGGGAATTTCAGTTTTTGAGAAGCTCAACATTTGGAAGAGTATTTTCTAATGTAGCTTGTAAACTGCCTTTTAAGGCTTTTCTTCAGAGAAGAGTTCCAAGTAATATCTCCAACAATGGTAGTTTTGTTAGAACTAAGAATGTAATAATTTTGAGGGAGAAATATTAGTTTAGGTTTCTACATTGTTATATTTCTTTTATTAAAAAAAGACTTGCAATTTTATAGTCATACTGTGTATGTTTTTTAAAAGGTGCTGCCTTCTCAAGTGAGCTCCAGGCTTTGACTCCCCTTTGACCTTCCTCCAGCTGTGTACTACTGAGTTAATGATTGCCCTTGCTTTTAGGCTTTAGCTTCCTGCAGAAAGGCCCTTCCCTCACCCTGCTCATGGTGTTAGCTGATAGTAATGGTATGTAGCTGGCATTACACGGACAGCATGGGCTTTTTAAGAATCCATTACTACACATTTGAAAATATGGATTCATAAATGGATATTCTGATTGAGATGGGATACAGCTTCTCTTGTAGCAGAGTGCTAAAAACACTCTGAGAGTTGGGGACAGCAGTGGCAGAAGGAAGCAAAGTGACTGTTAAGTGCCATGTCTATGGCCATACCACCCTGAACATGCTTGATCTGGGAAGCTAAGCAGACTTGGGCCTGGTTAGTATTTGGATGGGAGACAGTTAAGTGCCAAGCTAGATCAACAATTTCTGAGAACGAAATTTCAAGGCCATGTGGTGAGTGAGGAGATGGGACAGAGGCTATGTAAGAGAGAGTGAGACTAGGAATTAGAGCTTGAGTTCTAAGCTTGCTTCTGCCCAAGTTGCTGTGTCACCTTGGGTAACTCCTTGGTGTATCACAGAACAAGGGAGTGGATAAGAATGTTTAGAGTGCTTCAACTCTTGGCCTTGGTGTGGTTTATGTAATCTTGGGTGGGTACTGCCAACATCATCATTGCCTGGAGAGGATAGGTCAATTGGGAACAATGTTCTACAATGGCTAAGTATTCTCCTTTATAATTTTGGGGTTTGCATCCTGGAGACTATAAGTTCTGTAAAGTACATATAGACTCGTGATTTGTGCCCTGCATAAAACTTAAATGAATATTCTATACACTGAATCATATTTTAAATGGAGCATCTAATTATTTTAGATGCATCCTATAATGAGAAACTAGATCAGCCTTTGAAAGATCCTTTTATAAGGATTTCTGTTCTTAATTTTGTTCTTATTAAATGGATCCTTTAGAGGATGAAGCATCCTAAAGTTTCTCCCTTAAAATGGGTTGTGGTATACAGAATTTGATTCTTGATGTCCTCCTTACCCTTGAGGATTAGGACAGGGAAGAGCAGACCCTAAATACAGATGTGAACTGAAAAAAGATTGCCTTTGCAATAAAAATGGTTGACCCATCTAAAAATCTTGTTAATACTGTATGTACTTTCTACAGTGAGGCCTGAGATTCTGCATTTCTTACAAGTCCCCAAGCTACACAGTATGTGCTTGTCTGGTCAACACACTACTGCATAGCCAGGGTTTTGAGGATGCTATGAAGTTTTTATTCTCTCAAGAAAATGAGATTAAGCACATTTTTGTGCACAACCACGTGCTGGTTATTATTCTCAGAACTTATGAGTTAAACATACAAAGAACAATATACAACAACTAAAAAAATGCTCACAAACAGTAGTTCATTTTAATTGAACTATAAAAGCATTGAACTGATTCCTAGCTAAACAAATAAAGAATAATTAAGCCAGCAGCCTGAAGCACCTTGCTCTACTGTTAATGGTATTTATGAGTTTATGAGTTTATAACAGTAGTCTGCAACACTGGCTATGCATTAGAAATAATATTTTATAAATAATTAGTCCCACTGGGTCCCACTTCCAGAGGATTCTGATTCAGTTGACCTGAATTGGGGCCTGGTACTCTAGTTTTTGGAAGCTTTGTAGGTGATTATGATGCATAATTGGGATCGAATATCACTTGTGTAGAGTTCACAGAGGTATCTAGTTTGGTTTTTAATCCTATGAAGTCCTACAGAAGAAAGGAAATGCTCAGAGAACCATCTGGTACCAGGCCCATAGCTGATGAATGGCAAAGCAGAACTTCAATCTCAGTTCTCTTGACTCTAGAACATACAACCCCACCTCCCTTCCCCACCTCTTCCCTTGAAGCTATGTCATGGATTTGTTTTATCCCATGTCAAATCATACTACAGGATACCTGTAATGTCTATTCTTGAACAAGTATAATACATCTCAGTTCATTTCACTTTTGAGCCTTTCCTTACCTCAGGAGAAAATGCAAAAACCATTCTTGGTAGGTGTTGTAGGGAATAGATAAATAAATACTAAGACACAAGTCATCATCCTCCACCTTGCCAAATCATGAACACAGCCCAGGAGGGGAGGTAAGGCTTGTACACAGCTGTCATGTAGTTGATTGGTACGTGACTGCAAGTGCACTTGTCATTGACAGCAGAGAACCAAGAAGCTTGAAGGCCTCAAGGAAGAGGTGGCATTTGCACTGTCCTTAGATTGGCATTTTGGCAGGTGGGGATTTGGAAAGCAAAGGAATTTTACTAGATGCAAGGTCCTGTTGAATACTCAAGGCATATAAATGAGAGGCAGTGGAAACATGGGGATTTTCCAAATTGGGCAGTGCCATGATCAGAACTGTGGTCTGGGAAGAAGATTAGAAGATGAAACTGAGTGGAGACTGGAGTTGGGGATACCAGGTAGGAGGGTTTGGCCCTGGTTACCATGTAAAGATAGGAACCCAGAGGATGCCGTACTTAAGACACCTAACAATGTTAAGAGCATCGTCGAAGTGAACTCATTATGGGTCGACGGTTGGTTGCTCTTGTTGGAAAGGAGGTACGGTAAGGTTTTAAAGCTAGGTGCCTGAGAGAACGATGCTGCTGAATGAAATGAAAGAAGGATGCATTTCTGGTTCTGACCTCTCTTAGGAGAGGCCTAGATATTAACTAGTGTTCCTGCCTCAGCCACAAAGGCCAGCATCACTCCCACCTCCTCTTTAGCTCATTGTTGCCCCAATGTCTGCTTCCTCAGCTGCCCGTGCTGCCACTTCTCCTTGTTCACCTGACACCAGCCCCCTCCCTGCCAGGTGCTTGGTTCCCAGATCATTTTGTGTTGTCTCTGCCATCAGTAACTCATTTGCAGCTGTTGTGCCATGTCATTGGCCATCTCTGGTATTGGCATTGCACTAGAATGATCAGTAAAGCTTCTTTCTTCCCTGTGGGCTCCAAATTTTTCTCTAGATAGCTTGCATCCACAGATTTTAGAGATTTTATTTTTAATTTAAGTGTTCCATGTGGTGTGAAGGAGCATTGGTTCGGAGGGGCCGTTAATCACCGTGTATGCTTATCACAGCTCCTTTACAAAAATCAAACATGAAATCCAGCCCTATTATTCAGACAAGGTTTAGGAAATGTGACAGGATTTTTGCAGGGAGAATTTTAAAATGTATTTTGTTTTGTTTCAGAAGAGCCTAGAAGGGCAGAGGAAGAGAGGTAGCATGGTGGCAGAGTACATTTGAGTTGTCAACAGTCTGCAGTGTCAGGTCAATTACATCAGCACTTGGTGTGGACCAGAGGAAAGGAATGATTCTGCCTCCCGGGAATGTCAGAAGGACCTGATAATTATATTTGGCAAAGCCATGAGGAGTGGCTCTGTAATGTCATTGCTAAGAATTGCCCTTTTAATAGCATTTCTGGATGTCAGAGCTTTCCAGATGAATGGCGCTTCATTTCTGCTATGGCTTTCCTTTTTTCTGGGCTGGTTTCCCAGCTGAGCCTCTTGTTCTTCGTTGCTTTTGCTTTGATACCGGTTTATATTTTCTCTTCTGTCTTCTTTCCTGGCCCTTCCTTCCAGCACTCACACCAGTTTCCACTCTACCCTGTTTGGAGGTGGGAAAATGTGTGAATGTGTGAGAGGGGAATGCTTGCCAAAGGACAACGTCTTCAGCCTCTGGTCTCAACAAGGTAGTGCTTCAGCCTTAACTCACCACACTGTGGATGACTTGCTTCCATGCTATGTCTGCTACTTTTGTGTTAGTGGAGCTCAAAAGACAGGAAAGATTATCAGTGATCTGTGACTGCAATGCATTCTTTTCCCCATTGTGCCATATATTATGCCCTTTGACACAATTGACTAATCTCTGCCTCAGTTTTTCCATTTGTGAAAGTTCAATAACACTTATCTACCTCCCTTTAATGTTGTAAAGATTAGTATATGTTGGCTAAGCACTTTTAAAATAAAGAATGATGTAATGCATTTTAATATTATTGTTGCCATTGGGATATGGATGCCCTTCTTTATTGAAATTGCCCTGTAGGGGAAGTATCCTGGTGTACTATGGTTCAGGAGCAACTGTTAGGTAAAACATGCCCTAATAAATACAGGAGTATGATTATTTTCCTTATGAAAAATTTCAGCATGGCATTTAAAAAATAGCTTTTTGGTGCATTCAGAATGATATTCAATTTGTAGAAGTATTATTTAAACAAAAAAATTTTTTTTGACTTTTTGAGACAGGGTCTCACTATGTAGTTGAGACTGACCTGGAACTCGCTATGTAGCCTCGGCTGGTCTTGAACTCACAGCAATCCTCCTGCCTCAGCTTCCCGAGTGCTGGCATTACAGGCATGCGCCACCATGCCCGGCTAAACAAAAATTTTAAAAGGACACATCTATCGAACCTCTGTTATACAATTCAGTGGTTAACTTTGCAAGCTGATTAACCTAACAGTTCAGTTTGTCATTATTAGGCTGAAAACTTATCCAGTTTCCCAGAATGTGTGTGAAGGTTCTCTACTCTTGATACTGATTAGAAAGGATAGAATGGTGATTCTGCTACTCATGAATGAGAGGATCCAAGAATGTAGTTCCTTATAACACTGCTGGATCAGTGACAAAGACTAACCATATATAGAGTTTAGAGTATGAGGAGGTCTCTAGCCATAAACATGGGCTCCCTTCTTTAACTCCTGGTGACTGCGAAAAGATTTAATTAGGTTTTGGTCTGAGTTTTCTGTGGGTTTACTGGAGGAAAAATTCCAACTCTTGTTACTTAAGAAGTTGGTTCTTTTTAACCAAAGGGCACTTGTTATAGTAGAAATACTATAAGTAGCAGTAGAAGGTAAACTTCCAGTTCCTTTTCTGTCCCATCATCTGGTTCCAAGAAGGAAACTCAGAAGTGGTCCTCTGCTGGTAAGATGCAGATAGTGTAGGGGATGGAATCTTGGACCTTATACATGCTAAGCATGCACTCTGCCACTGAGCTGTAACACTAGGTCCTGGATCTAAATTCATATCCACAGTCTCCACAGAGTTTCTTGGAATGGGCTGGTATTAGACTTTCTGCAGGATTGAAGGGTATTCCATTCAGTCACTAAAACATTTGGGGCATGGGTAGGGTAGATCTGCTCTCCTGTGGTCACTCTGAGTCTCAGGCTAAAGGGGCCAGATATTTGGGGGAAGCTCTTCTCAGGGTACAAGAAGTACAGGAAGTACAAGAGGAAAAGCCCAATTGTAGGAGGTTGCAAATTTCATTTGTTTTATCTCCTAATATCTTCTTGGCCAAAGCAAGTTTCATGGCTGAACTCAAAGTTAAGGGGAGGGAATCAGACACTTCCTAAGACGGTGAAGTGAGAGGGTAAATATTTTTGAACAATAATATACCACAGTATTACAATATAGAAGGGGGCTAGTTTAATACCAGGGAGTTGAGATATATTATAAATCAAGAAACAAGTTGGGAAGAGATACATGCATCATCTTCTACTAAGATCTTTTTCCTCTCATTGTTTTTGGAGGGAAGAGGTTAAAATTTGTGATAATAACAGAATATTGGGTTGTTGGATTAAAATGAATAACACAAATGCTCCTCAATTTACAATGGCATGATATGTTAATCCTATGGCAAGCCAAAAAATCATAGGTTGAAATGCGTTTAATACACCTAACCTGTGGGACATTACAGCTTAGCATCACAGTGTCTCATAGAGAACAGTTGTTTCCCCTTGTATTTGCATGGCTGGCTCAGGTCTATGGCTTGCTGTCCGGCCCAGCATCAGAAGAAAATGTCTTCCTGCATATTGCTAGCCAAGGAAAAGATCAACATTCAAATTGCAAAGTATGGTTTATAATGAACGCCTATCACTTTTACACTATCAGTCTTAGAGTCTAACCATTATAATTCAAGGATCACACATTGTATTAGTTACTTTTCTATTGTTGCTGAAACAAAATACCTGACACCCAAAGTTAAAGGGGAAAAGATTTATTTAGCTTACAATTTGTAGAGGTCTCAATCCATAATCAGCTGGCTCCAAGGCAGAGTGGCACATGGTGGTGGAGCATTGCAGAGGAGAAACAGTTCATGGTGCTGACACAATAACAAAAGTAACAAGAAACTGTAACAGAATCTTTCTGCCCCTTTTTTTCCCATTCAGACTATGGGATTAGGGCAGTGCCAAACCAATCACTCACATGGTTTAGAAATCACATGCCCTTAACCCCAGCATCACACATTCTAGATTTAGCCACCTCAGAAAAAGCATGAGGCTTTGAGGGGATGTCTAAACACAAGCCATAACGTATGTATTTAGAACAGCAGCACTTAGCACATAATATATTAACCCTGGATTTTAGGCACATTTTTCTCAAGGTTGCATGGCTTTGTCATGTGGATGGAAAAGTTTGAACCCAAAAAGTCTGAACCTAGAGCTAACGCTTCTAAGAATCATAGTACATAGACTACAGTATTTGGCGTCTCAGTTCAAGTCTTATTTTTGCAAACTACATTGACCTCCCAAGTACTATTTCTGCATCACCTGCAAAATACCTCAATGGTTATATGAAACTACTGAAGAATCCTGTATACTGTAAAACTAAAAGCAAATTACACCTCTCTTTTGATCTTGTGTGTTACTAACTCCAAGAATATCTTCTCCCATGACAAAAACCTCATCTTATTTCCCTTTGCAGCCTCCCCACTCTGTGATACTCCCTGAACACAATCCTGAGTCTGTTTCATAGCCAGGTGCTGTGAAATCGTTTCTGTTGATCTCTCTACCTGGAATGCTGTCAGCCTTTCTGCAATCGCTTCTCATCATCTATGCTACTTAAGTGTTACCCTTCAAGGTCCAGTGGACATCAGGACTCACTCCTTGAACCTGGGCTCTGGTCCCAACTTCGCCAGTAACTCATCATGTGATTGTGAGCAAGTTACTAAATCTCTCTGGATATTAATTTCCTCATTTATAAAGTAAGGCTGTTAAAGAAGAGGATCTCTAACTTCCTTTCCTGTGTTCTAATTAGTCTAATTCTGAAATTAAACTCAACTTACTGCATATCACCACATTTTCAATTTAGCATTCTTCTTAAAAGATAATGTGGACATAAATGTAATTCAAATACTGCATCCAACTGGATCAGCCCCAAGATTGAAAGCACCATTTGTGAATGTTATTGATATTAGGGTAATGATTGTGCTTAAGCAGTTTATAACACAATCTAAATATAGTCAATATAAAAATTTCAATATATGGGAACAAAAAAGTTTCTTTCCCCAAATGTATTTTTCCCATTAAAATATAATTGGTGGCAGATTAACTGCTTCAAAAATCCCAAATCTATGGATTATACGATACTTCTACTTTATAGATTTCCATGTTTTAAGGTAACAATGTACCCTAAATTTGTAGACTTTTGTAAATTAAAAAAAAATCTTAGTTGACTTCAGGAGGTGATATCTACTATAAAATCAGGATTTTCTGAAAGTATACTTTAAATGGTAAAAAGGAGAGGTGTAAACCTTTGTTGGACATCTTCTGTGGGTTTAAGGCATGTTCATACATTATTTAATTTAATGCTTTAAATATACTGCAAGTGTAGGTAATATAACTAATTTTTATGGATAAGGAAATGAAGCTTGGAGAAGTTAAATGATGTGTTCAAAGTCATACACCAAAAATTTTGGAGATGGATAGTGGTGATAATTGCTCAACAAGTGAATATACTTCATACCACTATAAACTTAAAAATGGTTAAAATGGTAAATGTTACATATGTTTCACAACAATAAAAAAAGAAAAAAGTACATACCTAATGAGCACTTAACTAGATTTAGGTCCCGTATTAGTGTGCTTTGATTGTTAATGGCATGGAGCAAAGCACTCTGATTGACAGGTTCTGTTTATCAAAGAGCTGCCAGGATACTGAGAAGCCAGAAACAAAGAGAAGCAGAGAGAAGAGCTAAATGAGGTGAAAGGTGTCAGCAGTAGCAAAGATGGCAACCCCAATTGTGTCTGACAGCAAGCTGAAAACCAGAAATCAAGCCAAAAAGAGATGCTGCCAATCAGTCTTGCCATTTAAATTGGTGTTTTGTCAAACACTAATGAATACGGGAAACACCAGGGCATCTTGTAACAGGCACATTTTGGCTCAGTGAACCTGGGGTGTGTTCAGATTTCACTCCTACAAGCTCACCAATGGTTGAGATGTTGCCCATCCAGGGACCAAACACTGAGCAGCAAGGATTAGATCACAGGAACCTCCTCCAAGACAGCTTTCCATGGGTAGATTTTAGACAACTTGCACTAGACAGTCTGGGATGCTGTTACAAAGCAGGTTGTGGGCTTCATCCTACACTTACTGAGTCAGGATTTCATATGGTAGAGCTGGAATCAATATGTTTAACAAGCTTCTCAGTTGCTAGTTATATATAACGTTTGAGAACCACTACCTATAGACATTGCCATATCATGCTAACTGAAATAACTTCTTTTGCACACCCATTTCTAGTTTAGAAAAGCTCTTCCTATTCTGTCCCTTCTGTGCCTACATAGCAGGTTGATGGAGATGGTCAGAAGCCCCACTTGGCAGATAAGGAAACTGACATCTTCAGTCATTACATGCTGGACTCAAAGGTTTTTGACTCCCAGAAAAATGTTATTTATTATTATTATTTATCATTTATTATTATTATCGTTATTATTTTGTGGCTTGCTCTCCTAGTTTACCATTTCCTCACTTATAATCTTATGCGTTAAAAGTTCTTTTATGTCTAAAAAGCTTTGCAGAACAATTTTCTTGCTGTGATGCTTTCAAAATTTCAATTTAATTTACCACATTAAGCCATGCAATTTATTTTCATGAGCATAAATAGCTATCTAGGGTTGTGACAAACAGAAAATGTTTGGTGAAGTAATTAAGAAATAGACTAGCAGGAGTTTTTAAAAAGTCCTTCACCTAGATATACCAATTTTTTTCATTTTATTTTTCAACCATTTGTAAAAATTTTCAGGTGTCATGATGATGCTTTATCCCAGTACTTCAACATATATGTACTAAGCATATGAACATTCTCCTACATTACTACAATCCCATGATCACACCTAAGAAAATTAACATTAATTTGGTAATATCATATAATGTGTAATTCACTTTCAATTTCTTGTTATTCTAATGTCTTTCATTATTGTTTATTTTCTCAGATCTAATCAAACTTTATTGCATATGGTTGTTTTTTCTCTGGATATAATCTGGAACAAACCTATCTCTATCTTTTTTATTTTTCACGGTGTTAATTTCTTTGAAAGTCTAGGCCCTGTAAAGTGCCCCTTATTCTGTATCTATTTGATTATATTGTTGCGATTAAGTTTGGGATAAAGTTTTTCTGGCAAGGATATCACGCAGGTAAATGTCACTTACCATTCACTGTCATTTCAGGAGAGCTCTCTAGATCCCCTTTTGTGATGTTAAATTTGATCACCTAGTGAAGGTGATATCTGCTGGATCTCTCTATTATAAAGTTATGTTCTTTCACTCATAGTTAATAAGTTATCTGTATGGTGATGCTTTAAGACTCTGAATGTACCATCCTCTTAAAACCTTTCACCCAGTGGGTTTAGTATCCACTGATCATTCTTACCTAAATCAGTATTTTCATTGAGGATTACAAATTGGTGATTAAGTCAGCGTTGACCATTTGTCAGTATTCATATGGAAAGGTATGCTGTGGTTGACAAAAATCTGAATTTAGGTTGCCTCAAGTCATACTGGCTAATTAGAAAAAAATCCACTTGCCCTTAGAACTCTTTTGCTGGGGAAAGAAGGAATACCAGGGGTCGATTTTTTTTTTTTGCCCATGCCAAGGAATGCCCATCTGAGAGAAAAAGTTCCTAACTCCCTTCTCCTAAGTATCCTGGCATCATATTGCCTCTCTGGTGTCTGTTTGTTGGTATTGATTGCTTCTAAGCTCTGCTGGGAAAAATCATATGCTTTCTCTCCCATTATCATCAATGACCACTTCAATTTTTTTCCCACCCTTTTCAAAGCTCATCCATAATTTGTGCAGTAACAATCTGGTTGGAAGGGAAAGAGGCCAGAGTATTTTATAGAAGTTGCATATGAGTTTTTTTTTTTAATTCAACATTTTATATAATATAGAGAAAATGCAATTGCTTACATCAAAGAATGATGGAATGGAGTAGAGAGGCTAAAGGAGAGCTGGTGGATATTACAGTGGGGCTAAAGCTGCCTCACACTACCTTTTGATACAGCCACTGCCCCCATCTATCCTGCCCTCCCCCTTTCTCTTCAGAGAACACAGATGTCCTGATCCAAACACGTCCTCGGTAGCTTATCACCATATGTACAAGCATAGTTACATCAGCCTCCATTCTCTCCACCATCCTTCTCGTTACAAAGAAGTATCTGCTCTTGAAAGACAGCCCTTCCATCTGTGCTTTGATTTCTACTCCTGTGTTCTCAAGAATCTCACACAACAGATTATCCTTTTTCCTGTGTTGTATTTTCAAGTCTTTTCTTCTCCCATCACTGGATTTATCATCATCATTTAAATATTTTATAGCCTTATTTAAAAAAAATCCTTCCTCTCCCCATAGTCACCTACTGCTCTGATTCTCTTCTTCCCTTTACAGCTGAGCTGTCTAAATGTTCCGTCTCCACTTCTTGCTCCTTACCCATGTCTCATTAAACTCTAATCTGGATTCTGCCCTATCATTTCAGCAAATGGTTCTTGCTAAGAGCATCAATGACTGCATGTGACTGTATCTTTTAGACAGTATTCATCTTGCTTGACCACTCAGAAGCATTTGACCAGTTGGCCACATTCTGCTTCTTAAAACACATTTGTTCCTTGGTCACAGTGACACTGTGCTTTCCTGGTATCCCTCCTAATTTTCTGATCATCCCCATGTAGTTCCCTGCATTGGAGCTCCTCAACTTGAGCATAAACTCTCTTCTCTTCTTCTTCTTTTTTTTTAAATTAAGGATAGAGTCTATAGCTTATTTAGAATTTGAAAGGCAACAAAAATTTTCCAATATCTAGCTGGAAAGAAATTGTAGTTACTGTAGTAAAAACTTTTTGTTTATAAAATTATAAATGAGCAACGTTCATTAAAGAGTAATTTAAGGGCTGGGGATTTAGCTCAGTGGTTTTGCTGTCTGCTTCGCAAGTACAAGGTCCCGAGTTCGATCTCCAATACTAAAAAAAAAAAAAAAAAAGTAACAAGATAAAATAGTTAAAATGCTCATTTCTTTAGTTTCTCTGGACACTAATTATTTGATCTATCAAGGGTCTAGAAAGAGGACTAAATCAGATTTTACAGTTTCAAAGATACCTTAATTTCTTTTAATTGCCCAAAATTAAAATTGTCAGTTATGAGATGATTATGATACAATTTTTTTAAACTTTGAGACATCAAAAATACCATACAGATTCTAAGTGCTCTATGTTAAGTGAAGTATATATGTAAAAATAAAACACAATTAAGCTTTAAAATGTGGAACATGCGTTTTGTATAAGCATTGTGTTCTTGGAATGCATTCTACAGAATATTTTTACTGAAACTTCAAAACCTTGTTACTTGCACATGAAAAATCATAAAAAACATTAAAGTACAACTGTACAAAGAAACTGACATCAATATGCATAGTTCCACAGAAACTGCTTTGGCAGTTGTGTATTTGGTAAAGGTTTTGAAAATGTGCATATTTTAAAAGCAGGTATCTCATTAAGTTATGCTCACTTCCATGACCTCAATTAATCTAACCTCCCGTGCTTCCCACATGTATATGCCCAGTGTAAATATCTCTTACAAGTACCAGATGTATGAATTCGGTGGCTACTGGAGGCTTCCATGCAGATACCTCACTGACCTCTCAGACTCTGTCCAGCTAGAGTTGAACTCAAACCATCTCTCCAAATCCACATTTCTTCCCAGAGTTGGCTATGAGCCTGGGGATAACCACTGCTTGCCACTTTCCCACACACCTCACGTCTAATCAGTCGTCCAGTCTTTCTGTTCTTATCTGCTAAGCCTAGCCATTTCATTTACTTGTGCCCACCTTCCCTAGTCTGAGTGACCATCCTCATTCACTTGGGGTACTGCAATAGCCCCTCATATTCCTGCACACATTTTGTTTTTCCAATCCATTCTATAAGCTGCAACCCAAGGAGTTTTTGTTTATTAACTTCATTGAGATTTTTGTTTTATTTACTTTTTTTTCAGTGTTGGGGATCAAACCGAGTCCCTGAATCCCACCTCTGAGCTATATCCCCAACCCCAGTGAAATATTATTAACATAATTTTGCACTTCACCCATTTAACCAATTTATCTTTTTCAAACACAAATATGGACAGGTTATTCTTCCCTATAATCTTAAACTCAAGTCTGAATCATTATTCTCGCTTAAAATGCCATAATCAGCCCAGCATGGTGGTGCATGCCTGTAATCCCAGCACTTGGGAGGCTGAGGCAGGAGGATCGCTGTGAGTTCGAGACCAGCCTGGGCTACAGAGTGAGTTCCAGGTCAGTCTCAACTACATAGTGAGACCCTGTCTCAAAAAACAAAAACAAACGAACAAACAAATAAAAAATGCCACAATCTACCCTTGGTTTCTGAAGTCTCCAACTTCATTCCATGTCATTCACCCTTCAAGCTTTAGCCACAACTGCCTTTTCTGTTTATTATGTTTTTTAAAAACAGATACAATTATATGTATTTATCATATACAACATGTTTTAAGTATATATGTATATATATTCTGCAATAATTGAATTTATCTAATTAACAAATGTGTTACCTCACACATAGTGATAATTTTTGTGATAAGAATACTTTTATTATAGTTAATATCTTAACTGTCCCCCCCAAATCTTATCTGTACCCTTCAATTCAGCAGTGTTCAGAGGTAAAGCCTTTGGGAGGTGACTGGATCCTGATGGCTCTGCCTTCATGAGTGGATTAATCAGTTTATGGATTCATAACTTAATGGGCTAGTGGGACGTGATGGGAACTTTAGGGGGTGAAGTCTAATTGGAGAGAGCAGATTATGGAGCACACTCTTAAAAGGCATAGTCTGTGCCCAAGCCTTCCCCATCTCTTTGCTTCCTAATTGCCACAAGATGAGTAGCTCTGCTCTGCCACGTGCTCCCTGCAATATTCTAATTCACCACAAGCCTACAGTGATGGGGTTAAGCAAATAGACTGAAACCTCTGAAATTGAGTCAAAATAAATATTTTCTCCTTTAAATTGATTTTCTCAGGTATTTTATCATAGGAATACAAAGCGACTAATACAACTTACTATCTATGTTCTTTGCATTGTTGAAGAATATGATCACTTTCACTTATTCTGATCTTAGTCCA